GGTACTGTCCTGGAAGACACATGAAGAGGCAGAAGTTGGCATGATCACATCATAGGTACATACAAGAAGAGGACGAGCGGTCACAGCATAGTCCGTGAAACTTCTTACTGTTAGCCAAGTCCTCTGTGCTCAGCCTGGTGTAGGCACTGGGAGAAACGCAGAAAGAAAGACAGTCTCTGAGGAATCTCACTGTGCACATAAATTAACACAGTATAAGGCCATGAGCGTGCTAGTAGAGATTGTAGTAAACTCAACAGGGTGAAATGGAAAAAAACAACTCAGAGAAGATTCTAGAAATTCTACAGAGCAATAGGCACTAAAGCTGTAGTCTGAACAGTAGATAGATCAAGTCTTTGCTAGAATGGGTTTTGTGGAAACACAACAAACTCCGTTCTAGATATGAAGTTTCCCAGTTGCTTCTGGGGTCCATTAGTCAGGCTTCCCTAGAGTAACAGAACTCAGAGAATGAACCTCTCTCTCCCTCCCTCTCTCTTTACGTGTGTGTGTGTGTGTGTGTGTGTGTGTGTGTGTGTACACATGGAATTTATTAGAGTGGCCTGAAGGCTGTGGTCCAGCTAATCCAACAACGGCTGCCTGCGGATGGAAGGTCCAAAAGCACAGTAGCTCTTCAGTCCATCCAGCCTCGTGGGCGGCTCAGCTGGTGTGCAGTAGACGCTGGAATCCTGAAGAAGTAGGCTCTAATGCCAGTGAAGGGATGGACTTGGCAGCAGGACGAGAGCAAGCAGGCAAAGCAAGAGCTTCCTTCTTCCAGGTCCTCATATAGGCTTCCTACAGAAAGCGTGACCCAGATTAATCTGGGTTAAAGATATGTCTTCCCACCTCAAAGATCCAGACTAGAAGTCGATCTTCACACTTCAAATTAAGCAAAAGTGCCTCACAGGAGTGCCCCACCATTTTTGGGTTTTAAATAATTCCAGATGTGGTCAAGTTGACCGCCAAGAACAGCCATCACGTGAGGCAAGGGAGACTTTGCAGTGCCTTCTGAGTTGGGAGGTACCTGGTTCTGCCTGAAGGGAAGGGACCTATCATAATCATCTCCATGTTCTTGTTATTGCTGGTTTTTGTTTTTTACAGTGCTGGGGTGAACCCAGGGTCTTGAACCCTTTAGGCAAGCCCTGTACATCTATGTTTTCAAGAATGCCCAGCGGCTAATTTAATGATGAACTTCTAAAACTTATCTCTTAGAGGTTTTCTTACAGCATCTTCAGTGATGTGGGATCCGCTGGGGGGAGGTAAAAACAGGCCAGTAGTCACGGGCTGCAGTGCGCTCCTACAATTGGGCAGCTCAATTTCCAGGCTTATGTGACTTCGAGGGGAGGGGAGCTCTTCCTAGCAGGAATTTGGACGTGAGAGTTTATTTTTCTCCAGCACAACCCTACCCAGCATGCCCCTCCTTCCTCAGATGACTTATTTTCCAGGACAGGAACATAACACCTCCTCCAAGGTATGTCAGCTTCTAAAAAAGGGCCCGTTTGTGAGGACTTGTCAGAGCTTCAGTTTCAACGTCATTATTGGGGAGGCACCAAGACCGCACGTAGCGCATGGCTAGGCTGAGTTCATGTTTACCTAACACCTTCCATACCAGTAGATCCCAGCTAGCTTACCTGCCTGTGCCAGCACATGGGGGGGAATAAGCGAAGACAACACTTTACTTCAACACTCCCGTGGCGGGCGCTGGAGAAATGGGCTATCAAGATGCCAGCAGTTTGGAGGATGGGAGGTAACTGGTCTTGAGTCAAGACCTACTTCTTCTTTTTTAAAATTGAATTTTCCTGCTTTCAGTTGTGATCAAATTTATAGAACTTAGAATTTTCAATTTAAAGCCTACAGTTCTGTTGGCATTTGTGTTTCCAATATTATGAACCCTGCCAGACTTTCAGAGCATGTCCATCTCCCTAGAAACTCATCATACTTGAAACGTTCATTCTGTCCTCCCTACACACACACACACACACACACACACACACACACCCCCTGTGGTCACTGGCAACTTTAACTTTTCGTTTTCTGTCCTAACACATTGCCTAGTCTGGAAATTTTGTATGTTCATGCCCAGTCTTTGGGACCAGGTATGTTTTTAAAGTATGTCCATGTGTTGTGGACCATGGCTGAATTCCTCTATACTACACAACATAATAATCCTTGTATGAGTTCCTAGGGAGATGCCACCTTTTGTTCATTAATTCATTCGTTGATGGATATTTGATTTTCACCCCTTCATGTCTGTGAATAATGTTGGCATGGGTGTTGGTATGCAGGGATCTTCTGATTCCAGTCTCAGTTAGAGTGTTTCTAGGAGTAGAGCGTCTGCATCTAGGAGTAGAGCGTCTGTATCTAGGAGTAGAGCGTCTGCATCTAGGAGTAGAATGTCTGCATCTAGGAGTAGAGCGTCTGTATCTAGGAGTAGAGCGTCTGTATCTAGGAGCAGAGCGTCTGTATCTAGGAGTAGAGCATCTGTATCTAGGAGTGGAATGTCTGTATCTAGGAGTAGAGCATCTGTATCTAGGAGTAGAGCGTCTGTATCTAGGAGTAGAGCATCTGTATCTAGGAGTAGAGCGTCTGTCTGTATCTAGGAGTAGAGCATCTGTATCTAGGAGTGGAATGTCTGTATCTAGGAGTAGAGCATCTGTATCTAGGAGTGGAGCATCTGTATCTAGGATTAGAGCATTTGTATCTAGGAGTGGAGTGACTCTGTAATATCATTGATTCAGGCTAACTTCAAGGGACCATCTTGTAGTTCTGCTAGTGATGTAAGAGGGTTCCAGTTTCTCCACACCTTCTCCAACCCTCATCCTTTCCTGAGAGTTTGTTTGGGTTGTTTTCATCGCCATCCTCGTGGGTGTGAAATGGTGTCTCATTGTGGTTTTGATTAGCATTTTCCCAGTCATGAATATGTTGGATACCTTTGCATGTGCTTGCTGTGACCAGTGTGTATCTTCATTGTACAAAAATGTATTCAAGTCCTTTGTTCATGCTTCAGTTGCATTATTCATCATTTTGCTGTTCATTCGTAAGAGTTACTTATGTATTCTAGATGCCAGGTCCTTATCAGATATGATTAATTAGCAATTAATTAGCAAATGTTCCTTGGAGCATGAATAATAAAAACCAGAGAAAGAAATTGGGGCTCACCCTGAAAACCAAAGCAAAGTAGCCAAGCCACTAGAAAACTCTTACTTCTACTAAGGCTGGGTGACCGCAGACTGAGCAGCCCAAGCCTTTCTCTCCTTACATTTTATATTCCCTCTAGTGCTGGGATTAAAGGCATATGACTCCATAGTACTAGGATTAAAGGTGTAGGCTGCCACCACCACCGGATTTACTTCTGCATTGATCTTGTGTAGTCCAGGGTGTTGGGAAAGGCTACTTGTTTGTTCCCTGCTGCCCAGACCCTGAAACAATCACACAGAAACCATATTATTTTCAGTACTGCTTGACCAATAGCTTAAGCATATTTCTAGCTAGCTCTTATATCTTTGGTTAACCCATTTCATTATTTTATATTTTACCATGAGGCTCATGCCTACCAGCGAGGTTCTAACTGGCAGCTCACACTTTCTCCTCTGACGGCGCCTTGGCTTCTCACTGATCCACCTCCTATCTTCCAGCATTCAGTTTAGTTTTTCTATCTAGCTCTATTCTGCTAAGCCACTGACTGAAACAGATTTATTCATTAACCATAAAAGCAACACATAGACAGAAGGACTTCCCCCACCACCAGGGTAACCTTGAACTCACAGAGATCCATCTGCCTCTGTCTCCCAAATCCTGGGATTAAAGGTGTGTGTCACCATTGCCTGACCTCTAGTGGCTTTAGCTTTGCCTCTGGTCTTCAGGCAAGATTAATTTATTAAAATGCAAATAATATACCACTTTAGTTTCTCCCATTTTGTAGTTTCCTCTTGCTCCTTTGTAAGGTCCTTTGATATATTTTAACTTTTCTTAGAGTTTTAAAGTTTCGTGTGTGAGTGTTTGACCTGCTGTGTGTATGTGCGCCACATATATGCGTAGTGTCCAAGGCCATCACATCCCTTGGAACTGCAGTTATGGATGATCGTGAGCCGTCATGTGACCTGGCATGTCCATTACACAAGAAACCACTATGACTTAGCAGCAAAAAGATAAACAGTCCAGCAGAAACACAAATATGAATGAATGAATTGGACCCTCGGTCCTCCGCAAGAGCAGCAAGTGCTCTTGACCATTGAGCCATCTCTCCAGCCCTACTTGTTTTGGGTTTTTGTTTGTTTTATTTTGCTTTGTTTAGAGTGGATCTTGCTACCTATTTGCCCAGGCTAGCCTCAAATTCCTGGGTAGATGCGATGCTCGGGTCTCGGGCTCCGAGTAGCTGAAGCTACAGGTGTGCACCACTGTGCCCAGTTTAAAGTTCTTAATTTTATGAAGTCAATTCTAGTCTCTACTGTTTGGGTACATGCAGGGGCTGTGCTCTGCACAGGTATCCTCAGGCTCCAGGCTCTTAGGGTGCTTGAGCTTTCGGCAAACAGCAGTGTGGGTGGTGGACTTGTCTTCTCGGAATTCCAGCTACTTCGACCAAGTGCCTCAGAAAGGACGAACGCCTCTCTGTCCTGAGCTCTGAATCTAAGCCAGAAATGTCCACAGGGCTGATGTCTGCAGCTTCCCCGTGTCTTCTGCCTGGGTACTCACATAGACTTCCCCGTGTGTGTGTGTCTGACTCATGATCGCCTTTCCATCTGTATGTCATTTTACCGTACGACAGGTCCAGTCTCCAAGTCCATAACCATTCTGGGGTTGGCTTTAACATGGAGAGAGAGGTGGAGGGAGGAGATAGATATTGTCCTGACATGAAAGGGCATACATACTGCCTGGTGCCTCTAAAACAGGAACGAACATTCTGATACAGGAGGCCATGCTACCCCTCCTCTCAGTCTGAGGCTATCTGGATCCCTCAGAGAGGTGTTGGGGTGATCTGACCCCTGACCTTCTTTGTTCTCTTGCAGGATGAACGAGCGTGACCGTCTGATCAAGCGACTTAGCAGGAAGACACCCCCGACCCTCTTCCGAGCAGGCTCCATCCAGCAGTGTGTCACCCGTAAGTGACAGTGGGTAGCGGTGGGTGGCAGATGGCAGGGGGAGTGAGGCAGCCAGGCCAGGGATGGCTACCACACCTGATAGAGTGAGAATACTTTCTGGGAACTGAAGGTTGGAGCTCACAAAGAGCACACTGATGGTCTGCTGGGCAGCTCCACTGAGTTCTGCCTGCCAACAGGGACATTCTCAGTGGGCAGAGAAGGATGGTATTATGTTACCCACCAGCCCTCGGCTCCTCCCTATTTCCCATGGCCCAAGGAGGGTGTAGCAAAGCCCTGAGGGCACAAACTCAGAGGCTCAAGCAGAGAGCACCTGTATACAACAGGTCGTAGTGCTATGTTGTGGCTTCTAGGTCATCATCATGGGCTCTGGGTACAGCCATGTTGAAGAGGTGAGGTAGAAGTCAAGGCATGAGGATTGATGGGATTTTCCAAGCACAGCAGTCTGTAGGAGTGCCCTCTGGACTCTCACTGCAGGGGTCCCCTCTGGACTCTCACTGCAGGGGTCCCCTCTGGACTCTCACTGCAGGGGTCCCCTCTGGACTCTTACTGCAGGGGTCCCCCTCTGGACTCACACTGCAGGGGTCCCCTCTGGACTCACACTGCAGGGGTCCCCTCTGGACTCACACTGCAGGGGTCCCCTCTGGACTCATACTGCAGGGGTCCCCTCTGGACTCTCACTGCAGGGGTCCCCTCTGGACTCTCACTGCAGGGGTCCCCTCTAGACTCTCACTGCAGGGGTCCCCCTCTGGACTCACACTGCAGGGGTCACCCTCTGGACTCACACTGCAGGGGTCCCCTCTGGAGTCACAACACTGGGTTCCTGTCTGGCCACTTTTCCTCTCCGTGTCTGCATTTGTAAAATGGGAACAATGTGAGAACCCAGCTGGGGTTGTTGGGAGGGTAAAATGAGATCATATATACAGGGCTCTAGGGGAGTGCTGGACCTAACTAAAGAGTTCTGTAGATGCTAGATATTGTGGCTATTGTTCAGTTAGCTGAGTAGCTCTGGATAGTGTGTGGACTTCTCAAAGTTTCGACTTTTTCCTCTGGAAAAAGAAAATAGAATTGTATGACATCCTTACACATTATCACAGGAAGTATGTACAGCCTTTTGGATGGATAAATTCACACTATGAACCACACTGCTTCCCTAACAAATGTCTCAGAGTAATCACAGAAAGAATATGTGCAGCCAGACCAGGGGACTGAGGCAGGAGGATGACAAGTTCAAAGGTGCATGAGCTACAAAGTGAGTGCAAGGCCAGCCTGGGCAACTCAGCAGGATCCTGTCTCAGAAAGTGAAATAAGGGCAAGAGACAGGGCTCAGTGACAGACCTCTTACTCAGCATGCACAAGGCCGAGGTTCATGTTTCAGTATCAAAACAATTACATATGTTCTCTTACGTCTAAAAGAAAGCTAGAACTCTTAACATGACCTCATGGTTTCCTTAAGTCAACCCTTGAAAGTCAAAATTAAAAAAGTCTACTGAACAGATGCAAGAAATAAGACAGCTTCTAAAATCAGACCACATTACCACATTGATTTCAAGCTTTAGTAGAGGGCTGGAGAGATGGGTCAGCAGTTAGGAACACTAGCTACTCTTCCAGAAGACCCACATTCAATACTTAGCGCTCAGAACCATCTGTGACTCCAGGCCCAGGGAATCTGATATCTTCTTCTGGTCTCTGCAGGCACACAGGGTGCACAGATATATATTTAGACACACACTCATACTCAAAAAATAAAAATAAAATCTCAACAAAACCTTAAACCCTCAATAAGTAGTACTGGAGCCTGTTAAACAGCTTAGAATGCTCCTGCCATTCCCAACAAGACTTTCAAGTGCCCAGAGCTAGCTCTGGATCTCAGAAGGCCTATGTAATGTCTCTGAGCCTTGACTGTCCGCCCCCCCTCCAGCTGTCCTACTGTCCCAGACCCCAACCTCCCTGAAACCTGGGAGACTGTGATCTTCAGTGCTCTGCTATCACCATGGTTTGTAAAAGGGACAGAACTTAAGTCAGAATCTTTAGCAATGGTTAGGGTTAGGGTCAGTCATTAGGGCGGAGCCCTCATAACTGAATCCTGTGACTCTCTGGGGGAGCGAGGGATAGAGAGACAGAGACCAGAAGTCATGTGCACATCCCTGTCTCTTGCCATGTGATGTCCTGTGCTACCTTGGGACCCTGCCAACATACACATCCGTAGATATGGTCTCTCAACTTCTAACTTCCATCTGTGAGATGAAATAAATCTTCTTTATAAGGTTCTCAGCTTTGAATGTTCCATTGTAGTGATGAAAACTAGAAAATTACAGCTCTCATTACCAGCCAGTGTGCAGCACTAATGATTGAGATCAGTATTTCTTACACAGTCTGAATTTCCTCATCAGCACCATGGTTCACATCACCTCTGAAATAATACTTTTGTTAAACTACTATCCGATTTCAGGATCAAGGAAATGGAGAGAAAGAATTTTATTCCAAAATGGGGGGAGGGGGGAATGACTTGACTTTGTCGACTTGACTTTCACCAAATGTTCTACCCCAACAAAACAAAACAACTAAAGAAATAAACCACACACCTCTCCATTGCTGCCCCTCCCATGAGCCCTTCATAGATTCTGGTGGGATCTAAGAGCAGGAGCCAGGGAGGGTGGCAAGTTGGATCAGAAAATGCTTCCTCTAGGTCCCCAGCTCCCCACCAAGACGTCCTATGATGAACTCAAGTGGGAAATACAGAGAGTTGGGGTGCAAATACCAGATGAATGTTCTCCAAATTAATCTAGAAAGAAACCCTGTTTCCTAGCCAGGCTTTGGGGTCAGCAGGTGGAGTCAGTGAGTGACCCCGTGACCTATGTTTTCGCTGGACCTGTGCCAGCCTAACTCCCATCAGGCATGGTTTCTAAAAGGAGAGATTTTCTGCCTGGGAAAACCTTACCCCTTCCTAGGATACATCTATCAGCACGTGGTCCTCCCTGCCTCCCTGCCTCCCTCCCTTCCTTCCTCCTTTCCTTCCTTTGCATTCAAGAGGGAACCAGAACCTTACGCCAGGCAAGCCCTCTGCCATTGATGAAGAGTGCCAGAGCTCTTTTCATTTTCCCATTAAGATGATTCTCAATCTGTTGCCCCACCTAGCTTTGAACTTACTATCCTTCCGCCTCAGGAAGGCCATTTGGTCACACTCTGCTCACCTGAGAACAGGTCAGAATGAGAAAGAATAATTGCCTGTCTCTCAGAAGTGAAGCCTAGAAACCCTCACACAGAGTTAACTGAGGCAGCCCCTTACCAGCCTCTGTAGCCATGAAATTAAGACTCTTCCAGAGTTGGGTGTCCAAAACAACACCCCTAACTAGTCTTTATTATTCATTTACTTCTGTTTTGATTACTTATGTTTGTGTTAACCCTAATAATATTTATATCGTAACATTCATTCACTCACAACCTTCATCCATAACCCCCTATCTTAGTTAGGGGTTCTATTACTGTGATGCAACACCATGACCAAAATGCAAGTGGGGGAGGAAAGGGTTTATTTGGCTTACACCTCAGCATTGCTGTTCATCACTGAAGAAGTCAAGGCCAGGAGCTCAAACAGGGCAGGAACCTGGAGGAGGGAGCTGATGCAGAGGCCATGGACAGGAGCTGCTTACTGACTTGCTTCCCATGACTTGCTCAGCACCACCTTCTTATAGAACCCAAGACCAGCAGCACAGGGATAGCACCACCCACCATGGGCTGGGCCCTCCCCCATTGATCACTAATTTAAAAAATGCCTTACAGCTGGGTCTCATGGAGGCATTTCATCAACTGAAGGCTCCTTCCTCTCTGACGACTCTAGCTTGTGTCAAGTTGACACACAAAACCAGTCAGTACACCCCCCTACACACATACACACACACAAACACAGATATACACAGAGATGTAAAAAGTTTAGCAGTTTTCGAGGTAAAGCATCCTGGAGCCCTCAGGAAGGACTGGAGCTATTAGAGGTAGGACTTGCCTTGTCCCAGGCCATTTCATCTTACAGAGAAGCAAAGCCAAACCCAGACAGCTTCACCAGTCCAAGGTTACAAAGCCTAGTAACGGTCAAGCAAGGACAAGAAGTTCCCTTTTGTGCCCCTGGTACTCCAGCCATCTGGTCACCATCCAGGATAGCTGCCCAGCCCTCTGAGAATGCCATCTTCTTAGAGGGAGCACAGTAGTCCTCTCCCCTCTTGCCTCATTCCTAGACTCTCTCTGGAAAGCCTGCCCTTGACCACAATGGCTTCCTTCAGACTGAAGGGTCTCCCCTGTGGGTTGCAGCAGCCACAGGCACAGCCGTCATTCCAGCAGTACATCCCATCCAGGGGCAGCTGCGGGGACCTGATGGCCCTCAGGGACACACAAAACATTCCTCCTTGTTAGAGGCCTGTAGAATGCACATCATCAAGGTTAACTGTGGTAACACAGCCTTGGTACCAAAGGACACACTAGGGTTTCGTTGTTGTTCTTGTTGTTGTTTTGAACTAGATTTTGCTTTAAACTATTCCAAGAAAGACTGTCCTCTTGGATCGCAGTAAAAATGCCTCACAAAGCACACCTTGTGCGTGGTCAGGGCAGGGACCTGGACAGAGATGAGGCAGAGGGGGAGAAGCCCCTCCTCTTCACAGAGAACTCCAGCAAGCCATGGCCCATTTCTAGAAGATCTTTGGGAACAGGGGCGAGACCCAGCCTTTGTTCCTTACCTCACAGAAGCAAGACGTGTGAAGCAAGGCCACCTGTGTGGACAGCACCATAAGGAAGCCCCTTGTTGACAGAGGTTCCTGCCCGTCCAGGTCCAGTCGTTCAGTTCCAAAGAAACACACAGAGATCTACATTAGTTAGAAACTTGTTGGCCTATTAGCTCAGGCTTCTTATTAACTATTTTTTTAATTTTTATTTTATTTATTTATTTATTATGTATACAACATTCTGCCTGCGTGTATGCCTGTACACCAGAAGAGGGCACCAGATTTCATCACAGATGGTTTTGAGCTACCATGTGGTTGCTGGGAATTGAACTCAGGACCTCTGGAAAAACAGCCAGTGCTCTTAACCTCTAAGCCATCTCTCCAGCCCCTATTTATTTATTTATCTATCTTATTAACACTTATAATTTATACTAGCCATAATTCTTGTCTGTGTTAGCCACATGACTTGGTACCTTTTTTGGCGAGACTGTCACATCTTGTGTCAGGATGACGGCTGCAGACTGAGTATTTCTTCTTCCCAGAATCCTCCTGTTCTCATTGCCCCACCTCTACTTCCTGCCTAGCTACTGGCCAATCAGCATTTTCTTAAACAAGTACAAGAAACAAATCTTTACAGGGTAAAACCATTGTCCCACAGCAGCCGCTGTCCCCAGGCCTGATGACTGGGTGTGGCTTCAGTGGAAATTCCCAGCCAGGCTGGCTTCTGCCTCTACTCAGGGACCACCCCACTTCTGGGGAGTACCCGGTGTGTGTGTGTGTAGGTTAGAGGACAACTTTGTAGGCTCAGCCTCTCCTTACACCTTTATGTGGGTCCCAGGGATCAAAGTCAGTTCCCCAGTTTGAACAGCAAGCATCTGCTGAACCCTCTTCCCCAGCCTCCATTTGGCTTTGGCCTGGCTATGGGGCCCATGCTATACTGGGAGCTGCTTCCCGACAGCAACCACATGGTAGATGCAGCCCCAATAATAAAAACCCAGAGACAGATATAGGGGTTAAAGCTGAAGATCAGAGAAGCAGAGCAGTCAGCCACTAGAGAGACCTTTTACCTCTACCAATGCTCAGACCAAAGTGGGGTGATCCTCAGACTGCCTAGACAGCACTGTGTCTCCACCAAACCTCAGGCTCCACACTCCAGTGAGCTCCTGTCTCTCCTTCTTTATAGATCTCTCTCCACCCAGCCATATCACTCCTGTCTCCACCTCCCTAGTTCTGGGATTAAAAATGTGTGCCTCTCAAACACTGGGGTTTAAGGTGTGAGCCACCACCACCTGGATCTGTTTCTGGATCCACCTTGTGTAGCTCAGGGGGGCCTTGAACTCACACAGATCCGTCTGCCTCCTGTCTCCCAAGTCCTGGGACTAAAGGTGTGTGCCACCACTCCCTGGCCTCTAGTGACTTAGCTTTATACTCTGATCTTCAGGCAAGCTCTATTTATTAAAATACAAATAAAATGTCACAGGTGGGACTTCCTGTTTGGGGGTTTCATTTTTGCTGGAAATGGGCAGCAGGCAGGAGTCTGTGTCTTTGCATCTCTGCTCACACAGGGTCTATCTTCCCACTTTCCCTGCGTTCTCAGTCTCCCTGACTTCATCTTCCCTCCTATGACTGCCAGGTCTGAAGTTTCCTCCCAACTGCCCAGACCCTGTGTCCTCAGGGACCCCCAGTGTCTATGCCCACTATGCCTGAGAATCCTTGGGCCCCATCCAAGCCTTTAGAATTCTGTGGAATAGCTGGCAGGCTCATTCTCCTGAAGGACAGGAAGCCAGCCTAGGGACAGGTATTCTGGGTTCTGGCCACACAAATGAACAACAGCATGGAGTTTTCCCCTACAGCCTTCTGCCAGCCTGTCCTGCTTGTGACTGTGTCTTCCCACCCTGCAGACTTTACTCTCTGTAAACATCTGAGGAGATTACCGACCCAATCAACAAGCTGACAGCTGCCTGCCTTTTCTGATTTCTTTTTGTCCTTTTAGAGAATATGGCGGGAGAGGGAGGGTATGACTCAGAGTGCTTACCTAGGATGCAGGAGGCCTTGGGTTCCATCCCCCACACTACAAAAAAAGAAAAATGTTTAAAAATAGCACATCAGTAGTCAGACAGCTCCATTGATAAAGCACAGTAGGAAGACAGGATCCCGACAACTGTCAGGATTTGACTGTGCCGTCTTCTGGCGGGGACGTCTAACTGATGAGCACTCAGACTTCTGTCCCTCTGCCAGAGCAAGAGTTCTCAGGAGTTGTCACACTGCCCAACTTTGCTTCCTGGATCTGTGACTTAGGGAAGTAAAAATGTCTCTGGGCCTCAGTTTCCTCAGCTGAGAAGTGGGAACATAGTATCGTGTGTCACCAATGGGCAGGTTCCTTGAGCCATTTTCAAGCTGTGTATAGAAGTGATGCTTGTTTTATCACCCTGTGAGGCTCAGTCCTTCTGTGGTCATGGAACTATTCACTAAATCTGCCCTCTTGCGTGTTCTTTCTCCTCTGTTACTCAGCAACAAACCCACTTCAATTACCTGCCAGAACCAGTCTGACATATGACCTGGGACTCTCCAAGCATCCTGTGTGCTTTGACAACTTCGCTCTTAAGGGTGTCTTTCCTGACAGGTTTATAAATAGCATCAGGCCGATGAGGGACCTTGTGTCTTGATAGATGGTAGGGGAGTGGGATCATGGCCCACTAGTCCCTGTTTACATTCTCTACATTGAGCCCCCCGAAATTAGAAAACCTGCCTGCTGTGGTTTGAGTGCCCTGCAGAATACATGTGGGCATGCAATTGCTCTGATGACCGAGTGGAGGGGGACGCTTTAGGGGTGACGGTGTCACGTGAGCTCTATTGCAGATAGTAGATTAACATTGTTGTCCAGGAGTGAGTATGATACCCTCCATGCTGTGTGGCAGCAAGGAAGTCCTCACCAGGTACGGCCTCCTGACGTTGGACTCCGAGTCTATGGAACTATGAAACAAACAAACGTCCAGTTTATACTTCACCTGGTCCATGGTATTTTTTTCCAGCCACAGGAAACACAGTCCTTCCACTCTGAGCCATTCCCACCCCTGTTTGATCAGCCCCCTGCCACCTCAACCCCTCTTGGCCATGGTCCCCTTTGCTTTCACAGGTGTCTTCATCTCAGGTACCTGTATCCACAGCTAAGAAAGTTCAGTGACCACACAGTTCAGTGGGGTTTTCCTGGAAAGTAGCTCATCCTTAGTCCAGAGCAGCATTTCTCAACTTGTGGGTCGTGACCCTTTGGGTCAAACGACCCTTTCACAGGGGACGCCTATGACCATGGGAAAACACAGAGATTGACCTTATAATTCACAATACAAACAGTAGCAAAATTACAGTGATGAAGTAGCAACAAAATAATTTTATGGTTGGGGGTCCACACAACATGAGGAACTGTATTAAAGGGTGTCGGCATCGGGAAGCTTGAAAACCACTAGTCTAGAATGTTCCCTAATCCACTTCTTCCTGTGCGTTTCTTTGTAGACGGGTATGCCTTTTCCCAAGAAGAGCATGGAGCTGTCACGCAGGAGGAAATAGTCCGTGCTTATGACACCACCAAAACGAAGTCGAGGAAGAAATGAGGCGACTTTCCCGGATGGCTCAGGGGAAAGGGCGAGCAGTGTTAACACGGCTTTGTCAGAGAGACTGGCGCCCACAGCCCAACACCAGAAGACACATTTCTGTGGCCTTAACCGACCAGTTTGGTAGCAGCTGTCTTGTCCCCTTGCAGTCCCAGGGTGTAGGCATCAGGGAAGCTCTACTCCCAGCTTGTCTGCCGTGCTTGGCCCAACTTCTGTTGACGGTGTTATGAAGCATTCAGCTGGGCTCTCTGAGGTGTGAAATTAAAAACTACGTTTCACCAATGCTCAAACATCAACGCTAGTGGTTCTGGGAGAAAGGAAGGGGGCATTATGTTACTAGAGACCAGTCCTGTGTAATTGGAACAGGGTACCCTTACTTCCTGTTCGGTGCATGTCCAGATCACACAAGCCTCGCTTTCTGCAGACTGCTCACTCACTTGGATTCCTGTTTTCTTTGCGTGAAGTCGGCATAAACTTCTTGATTGCACCGAAATCAGAAAACCTTACGGTTGAAGGACAATCCTGAGAACATTTCTTTGGCTCTTTTGGCCCCAGCCCCAGCCTCAGCCAGGCAACCAGCCAGAATTCCATGCCTTCTGCGCCGATTTTAGGTGCAGGCCTTTGGTCTTGCCATGGCCGCCCTGTGCTCTTGTCCGCAGATCTGCACAGCTGGCCCCTGGGTGTGGTGCCCCGCAGCTGGCAGCCACCCATCCAGGTCCCCTGGTGTCTTTATTCCTCTCTCCGTGCTGAAGTGGACATCAGAATCTTCTTACCTAGCCTCACCTGCCCTGCCCCGCCCAGCCCCGCCCCACCCCGCCCCGCCCCTCCCCACTGCTGCCCTTGAGCTCTGGGACTGAAGAGAAGTGGCTGAACCACACCTGGCCTAACACTTAATTGTCTTTTTTGAGGGGATCCCATGGGAAGGGGAGCAGGCCCTGCATATCACTTCTGAGCTAGGCCTCTGGCAGCCTCTCAGAATCGATACCTGCCTCTAGATGCTCAAAGCCCATTTTAGGCTTTCCGCCTCTGTGCACTGAAGGGACAAAACTGGCACTCTGAAATTCTAGAATCTGGGTGAGCTTAGGGTGGGGGGTAAGCACAGGGCACCCCATCTGAGATCTCGCTGGAAGGTGACCAAGGACACCTGACTCAGGAGGCAGACACAAAGCCCGTTTTCACCGTATCACAGTGAAAGTTCTCAAGTCCTACTTTTGATGGACAGTTGTAATGATCAGCCCATGTACGCTGTGGCAGAAACCAGACCTTGTCCTGTAGACATTTTGTCTGGTTGATTTTCTTAAGACGAGTCTTACACTGTATGCCCACCTAGCATTGAATGCACTTTGTAGTCCAGGCTAGCCTCAGACTCTCAGCAACCCTCAGCCTCCTGCATATTGGGGTTATAGGTGTGAGTTACCACGCTCGGCACCATACACATCTAAGGAAAACAATTCCAAACATTGTCAAGATCATAACTTTTAAAAATAGTCACATGGTCTCCTTTCTGTATCTGGCAAGTTTTAGGCCCAAGGGCCTCTTTCTGGACAGTGACTTGGTCTCTCAAACAAAGAAGGGAAGTGCCTGTTCCAGGCTTGGGCCACTGCAGGCCCCCACTCTGAACTGGAACAGAACCTGGATGCTCCAAGCCTGCATGCGAGAACTGGGGGCTCTCAGAAAATGCGGGCCGGCCTCAGCATGCTTTCTTCCCTTTATTTTGGCTGCCGAACCGGAGTTTTTGGATGGCTTAAAGTAAATACTCCTGGGCACTTGTTACCGGGTGAACTGGTACCATACCACCAGGGATGTATGCTAGCTTAGAAAATAAGGCAGTATTGGGGGGATGGCTGAGCAGTCCAAGGTGCTGCGTTCAGAAAGAAGAGATGCTACACTTTGCTTTACTTAACGTTTTACTTTTGGAACATCAGAGATGAATGGGCACCAAAAAACAAGCAAACAAACAAAAAACTTGGTTATGATTTGAGTAAGAAAACTGATTCTCACTTAGGGCGTGGCCAGGATGCTGAGATGGCTTGAAGGGAGGCAGAGTGGTACAATTAACAAGAATCTTGCAAATGACCTCTCTTTGCTCCCTGAGGCAAGAAAAAAATATAGCATGCCCAGCAAGCTGGAATCCCAACAGACTGTACCATGTGGGAAAAACAGCAGGAAGTGTGCCTCAGATTAGGGGGGCCAGCCATGGTGTACATTTTACCCAGAGGGGTGGGGGCAGAACTGTGGGGAGCAAAGGAAAACCAACCGGATGTGCCCGAGGCTCTTTGCAAGTTTTTTCCTCTCTTTCTTTCGTCTGTTCTTTCTCTTTCTTTCAACTTTAAAGACTAGATTTATTTGAAGGAAAAAAAAAAAACACAACAAACCCTCAACCCTAAGGATGGGATTTTACATCTCAAGACATCCCCCAAGTAATGTCTACAGATTACAAATAATTTTCATAGGAGATATTTTTGCACAAATTTTGGTGTATTCAGGAACGTGTAAGTTGACCCCTGACTTTATTTTAACAGAGGAGCAACGCAGGAGAGTGGGGCATGGCGGCTTCCTTTCAGATGCCTCTGTCCGGAAGGGAAATAGACATGAAGAGGGCTAGTTACCTCTCCATTGTCCACAACTGATGGGTTTTTACCCATTCAGCTGTGGGTACCTCTCTAAAAGCCTGCTTCCTAGCTATGGCCAATCAAGCCCTCTGGATAAGTTCTTGCCATGCCTACTGATGCAGCCCACTAAACCAACGCTCCTGCTCAGCAAGCCCAGGGCTTACACGTTAAGACCAAAGTCTCATTTGTCTGCAGGGGCCCTGACTTACTGCAACAGGAAAACCTGCCGTCTTTGGAGCTGACCGCTACAAAGGTGCACAGCAATGCGGATAGGTCAAGCCACTGTGTTGCAAGAGAAGCCTTATTCAGTAGTTCTTTGCATTATCCTTTATTCTTTTTTATTTATTTTTTATTGATCTCTACATTTTTCTTTGTTCCTCTCCCTGTCTCTCCCCTCCCCTTCAACCCTCTCCCAAGGTCCCCACGCTCACAATTATCCTTAGCTTCTTGAGGGAAGCTAACCCTCTCGAGCAGAAAACCTCACAACATAGGTCACCTTATAAACCCAAGCACTAGCATGGGCACCCATGAAAGAAACTTACAGAAACCTCAAACCACCCCAGTCAAGGCTGAAGGGCTCCAACTCCATCCTCCGCGTTTATACACCCCTAGTCACCACGCATGTCCATCAATCGGAGTACTCTGACCTCCAAGGGTAGAGAAGTGAAGCTCCAGGAACAGGCAGACTAGGGGCAGGGTGGGAGCAGGAGTCAAAGACATCACAGAGCTGGTTCACTTGAGAGAAACAGTGAATGCCTCAGACCACAGCTTCTGTGACACCAGGCCTGTAACAGGCCTGTGAGACCAGGTGTGTGATTTACAGAGACCGCTTTGGGGAGGCTGACACTGTCATTAGGAACATGAGGTGACCAGAGGGATAAGGTTTTTAAAGAATGTGGACATATTTGAAAGTTTAGACAGGGCAGTGTTTAGAAGGGGTGAAACAGGATGTGCAAGACTAGTTTGATTTGCCCTTGAATGCTCTAGGGCAGAGAGACTAGGAGAAAGCACAGGATGTGGAGGTGTGGTTTCCTCTCTCAATTCTGTCTTCACCATTCACGGAGGGAGAAGCATTCTTGCTTGCAGAACTGAATTTGGAGGCTGGATTCTCCTCAAATATCTTTTGCTTGGGCAGATCCAGAGTCTTGAGTCTTTTTGCCAACTTTCCTCTCCAACTCATTCCTGTGGTCCTTGTTTTCTCCATCTCTAGGGCCACAACTGGAGTTCCCACTTTGGCCTTTGGGACCTCACCCCATCTACTTTGCTTTCTTCTTTCCTTGCTGGTCCTTCCTCAGAGGGCTGAGCCAGAGCTACTTTCTCTCTGTCGCTGTGTCTGAGCTCTGTGTTGAGCATCGCTTTCCCCCGCGCATTCTCCTTTGGTAGAGGGGCTGGCATTACCTTTAGAGGCCAACCAATTTAGGAGGTTTAGAGACTGGAAAATGGCAGTCTTCTCTATCGAATGGCTTATTTTCGAGAGCCTCTTCTTTGTGTATTTCTACCAGATGTAACTGCGGCCCCAGTCTGCCATGACTCGCTTCCTGTCCTCAACTGTTCTCTTTCTTGAGCTTCTTCATTTGGCCCACCAGTGTGTGTCTCCTGGGGTTGGCCATCTAGTTTTGGTTCGTCCAGCTGATGTTGCAATGCCTTCTGTTCCTTCCGTAGCCCCGCCCCCTTCTACTTTTCTTCTCTAGCAGCTGTGACAACAGGCTTTGCCCTTTCAAAGATAGAAGCTGCTCAACTCTACTGGGAGGTACTAGCAAAGGAAGCATCTTCCTTGGGAATATTCCAAGGCTTTAGATTCAGTCTGGGGTTGGGGGGTGGGGTTCTGCCATCATGCCTATAATCATCGGGAGAGTAATCATCTGTGGAGCTCTATGACCAATCGTCCCATCTGTCATACCTGTCATAGCAGTCCCCACCTTCTCTGTAGTCAGCAACCCTTCAGTACCCACTACCAAATTCTCTTCTCCCACTGCCTATCCTGCAGTCATAGCCTTGGTCATCATAGTGATCCTGGCTTCCAGAGCAATATCCACATTTCAGCATGGGCCATCCTGAAACCTGTCTGAAACCCATCCTGATTCCGCTCTGAATCGTACCGATCTCAACACTTGTCTCCCAAGTTATCGTCGCCTCTTCTAAATGGGTACTCCTCAAAGCCATCTGCAGCAGGATGCGTCCTCTAGTCTGTGTTTTGTTAGATACCTAAATTTCTGTCTTGACCCAAAGAACGATCATCCCTGTCTTTGTCCAGGGCTTGATCAGCAACTCATTTGAGTTTTCCCCTGTTACCTAGAGACACAGAGCACTGAGCAGATCGCCCAGGTTCTCACACTCGGCATAGCCCAACCTGTTCAACCTGTCTGGATGGCTGGGTTCATGTGACGAGTGTACCACACTGATATTTCATCCTCTAAAGAACTCCGTATGGAATCTTCTGTAACATTACAGGGCAGGTTCCCTAGGAAAACAGTGCAGGGTGGCAAGTTGGGAAGACAGCTCTGGTGGGTGTTTGGTTTCTGAGCAGCCTGCGGAGCAGTGGAGTGGATGGAATGGTTGGTTGGAGGTGCCCTGTATGCGCCATCATTGGTACCATGCGCGTCCTTGACTCCTCTCCGGATCACCTGTTACATCAGCCCAGCTGGTGGTTTGGAGACATAGCTGCCTCCGCCAGCCATCCTCAGCCAGAAAGTCTGTTAGAAAGATGGGCCTCCCCTTCCGAATTTTCTGTTTTGCTGAGGCTGCCATGTTGGGGGCTGGAGTGGGTGGGGAAGAGAGGAGTCAAAATTCATTTTCATTTGGGAACTAAACCCATTTGGAAAGATGGAATTAAAATTCAGCTTTTTGTCAGATACTTAGCCCTCTCTTGAGCTTGAAGGCTTTTAAACCAGATTAGTGAATGAAAGTCTTTGTTTGGGTCCTTTGTTTGTTTGTTTTCTTGTCTTTTGACTTTATGCTATGTTGTGTATTTTTCTGGAGCGCATTTTCTTCCTTTGAGAAGCAGACTAAACATTCTCTGCACTAAACTGTCTCTGCAGTAATAAGGTATACAGGCAGGAGAAAGCATTTCTGGGAGGGATTGTTTTCTATTTTTTTTTTTCTGTCCTGATTAAGCTTTCTCCTAGCCGAATGACTAAATTGGGTTTCTAGGCAAAGCAGCTGTCATGGTGTGTGATGTATACTATTTTTGCAGGGCCCACTGGGGAGCCGGGTCATTTGGGCTATCTTTAAACTGAGGTCAGAATGTCTCATACACAACCCCTCCCTGGGGAACAGAGTGGACTGGACTAAGTTATGCACACTGGCTGTCAGCTCAGTGGAGATGTCATGTGGCCCATGACACTCCTGTCACATAGCTGGGGCTCTTGAGCTGACAGGTCACATTTGGTCAGCACTTCCGGAACTGCCCCGGGTTTGTGCTAAGATGGGGCTGGGGCTGGGGCCGCTCACAGAGGTTCTTATGTATGGCTCGATCCTGTACTTGAAACTGTAAACAGTGCAGCCACTGTCCCTTGGCTTAGTTCTGGGTTCTGCTGCTCTCTTCACAGCCGCAGGGATGATTGCCGGGAGGACAGCCCACGCTATAATTGGAGGCAATACCCTGCTCAAGTCTATGGGGCAGCCTGGCAACACCGCCTAGCTGGTCAGGGTCTGCTGTGTGCTACTCCAGGAAGCAGAACTGATGTATCTGCTCTGTCTTGGTGCAGAATCTCCCAGATTTCTGGGTCAGTGTTACTTTCCCCAACTCCCCACATTCGTGCAAACACAAAGACAAAGGCGTGAGAGCGAGGTATAAACTGCTCTCGCGAAAAGTGACGCTGCATCTTCAACATTCAGAGAGAAATGTACCAGCCGGTGATCCTGGGCTCCGGCAGAGCCCAGCTGGGCATTTGCTTTTTTTTGCCAAGCCTTCAAGTATGCCCAGCGAAAATCAATGGTGGCTAATCAAGAAGCAGTGAGTGATTTGGTTGTTGTTTTGAGATAAATTCTTAGGTCGTCCAGGCTGGCTTTGAACTCACTATGCAGCTGAAGCTGCCCTTGAACATCTGACCATTTTGCCTCCTTTGTGTTTTATGGAATGCTTGTGTGGCTGTGCCGGGAATGGAACGCAGGACCTTGTGAAGGCTGGTGTTTGCTGCTGAGCCACGTATGTTCCCAATCGGTGAATGTTTTTGTTTGTTTTTGTTTTTTAAGCGAAACTAGGTAATGAGAGTCTGAAAATGTAAAAGGATATGTAGGCTTTCAGGTCATTATTTTTAAAATAAAGAAAGCTATCCTGTATAATCTCTCATTTGTTATCATAATGAGCCTTTCTTTTGAATCATGAGGACCCTTTCCCGTCAGCTCATTCTGTCTGTGTGTATGCCTGAAGGCCAGAAGAGGGCACCAGATCTCATTACAGATGGTTGTGAGCCACCATGTGATTGCTGGGAATTGAACTCAGGACCTTTGGTAAAGCAGGCAATACTCTTAACCGCTGAGCCATCTCTCCAGCCCCCGTCAGCTCTTCTTGTCCTGGGATTTTGTCTTGAGCCGCAGTCCAGTGTCTGCGGCCCTGCTGGCAGAGGAGGTGCCTTTGTCTGGAACGCGAGAAAGGGGTTGCACAGCACAGCCACGGTGTGACCCTGCCCAGGGTCATTGTCCCCAAGTCACTCAAGGGGTGCTTTAGCTTCAGCGTTTGGAATGCAGCCTTCACCTTCTGGGCTCTTTAAAAACTCAACAGGGAAACTGGCCCGACAGATCTGAAGCGAGAACTCAGTAAAGAAATTGGTTTATCAGGTCAAATCAAGAGACTGGCGTGCCTTCTGGTGTGACAGCTCACACCTGTGGTTCCAGCCCTCAGGAGGCTGAGGAACAAGAATTGGAGATCTACCTGGGCTACATGGTGAGTTCTAGGCCAGCCTGGGCTACACAGGAAAAAAAAAACTAAACAGAACAGATGTCATATTCTCTGCATGAACATGCTAGAATTATCAAATGTACCAATAAGAAAGTTAAAATAAAGGCCCTGCAAAATAAGAGTGCGTGCATCAGTTGGCTGTGTTAGTAATTCTGTGTTGGCTCGAAGGCTGTTGTCTATGTCAGTACGGTAAGGGGATATTAGCTCAGGCTAGCCTTAACAGAACATCATCATGAAGGGTTTCCCGTGGGGAGCAGAGGTACCAGCTCAAGATTCCCACAGTGGCACTATTAAGTATGCCTAGAAGCGAGAGGCCAGTACTCAGCGTGGTGTGTGGTACCCTTCGTTCACACATGTCTTCTGAGCCCCCTGTCCATCCTTTCTGCTTTACTGCGCTTCACTGACTTCCACATCTCAGACTGCATGTGCCCTGGTGTTTCTAAAGCTCCCCACTCACCCCAGATGCGTGATTTCTTGCGTGGGAAGAAGAGGGGATGGAAGCAACACAAATCCAAGTAGTGAGAAGCTCTGTGAGCGTGAGCGAATGCCTTGAGCAGAGAGGGGAGAGGTCGCCCCACCCCCAGCCCAGCCTAGCCTTAGCAACACCTCTCAGCCCTCCCCAGGGAGAGGAGACAAAGGATTGATTCTTCCTCCACCCAGGCTGGCTCCTGTTCAGAAGACAAACTCCTGCTCTCACTGCTGCCTCTGAGATAGCTGCTCTGCTCCCTCTCCCAGGCATCGGACCAAGAAAAACAGGCTGACAGGATTCGCCCACAGGCATTTCTTCTGACCTGGCTCAAGAGAGGAAGGAGACCTGTTTGTTTGAGAAACCAGGAGCAAAGTGTCAGGTGCCTGCGATTTATGGCAGAGATGGAAAGAGGAAAGTTGAAACAGCATCACCATCCCAATCATCCTGTCCTGGAAAGCAGGGGTCAGGAGGGCTTATCAAAAGCTGGGAGCCCTTCCTGGCGGTACATGCCTGTGATTCCCTGTGCTCTGGAGGCTGAGGCAGGCGAATCAAGAGTTGGAGGCCAGCCTGGGCCTCAAGCAAGGTCCTATAAAATAAGATAAATACAAGGTTTGTGCGGGGACGAGTTTCTGATTTCCTGTGTGAGAAAGAGGGGAGGAAAGCTGAGGAGTAGACAGACAGCAACCCACTTGCCGTGGGCCTGGACTGGATCCAGCTGTGTTCCTAGAGGTAGCTTGGTATGTGCTTAGAGGGAAAACAGCAAACACCAATTTAAAAAAGAAAAAAAAAATGAGGAAACATGCCTGCCTGGTCACGGAGTTTCTCTCCTTCCAGCAAGATCCCGGCAGCATAGCCCATAACTATGTACAATTATCCCATGGCAATTACAAACAAGATCCCTGTGCTGGTAAAGACTTGTCTGGTGTTCGAGTCAGAAAGTCTATGCAAGGCCTGAGCCTGCTGCTTCCTCTCCCTCCTTGCCAAGGATGACCAAGTGCAGCCCAGCACCGGGGCTCCTCCCTCTGCACCTCCCTCCCAGAGCAATGCAGCTTGCACTGCAAGGGTAGAGACCCACATCCTACATGTCTCTGAACCCACAGTGAGGGTGTATCTGTCATGTGAGCAAAGCCATGTGCGCCCTGGCTCTTGTTATGTCTTTTCTGAGATTGCTCGGATACTGTTTACCAAGGAGAGGCCCTAATCTAGCCATGCAGAGGGAAGCTGGCTGGGGGTCCTGTTAGACTGTCTCTCAGGAGGTACCTGAGCGCTTCCGTGACACATGCAGGTGTTTGTTCCCTCTCTCTGGAAGAGGAGTCATTTTCAGTGTTGTTAATGTTGGCCCTTCGTTAAGTGACAACAGCATGGTGGTGTGAAGTCAGTCTCCTTCCTGGCAGGGGATCCATGCCAAGGATATCTCCTTGTCCATTGGTTGTATTAATCAGGCTTTGACCAATCCTGTTAATTGGCGTGTATCTGCACAAATGCACTTCAAATAAACCTTTGGTTAAAGCAGAAGACTGGACTGTGTTTTATTTTGGAATGCCCTTTTGCACCCAGGGGCGGTTACTGTAGCCAGGACCCTTCGTGAGGAAAGGTTCCAGAAGCCACACTAGCCTTGGATGTGTCAGCCAAAGGAAAGAACTGTGTCTAGAACAATCTTTCCTCCTGGGTCGTCTCCGCATACCTGCAAACTGGGAGAGAGCTGTTCAAATTCCGTCGGGGGGCTGAAGAGATGGCTCAGTGGTTAAGAGCATCACCTGCTCTTCCAAAGGTCCTGAGTTCAATTCCCAGCAACCACATGGTGGCTCACAACCATCTGTAATGAGGTCTGGTGCCCTCTTCTGGCCTGCAGGAATACACGCAGACAGAATATTGTATACATAATAAATAAATAAATACTTTTTAAAAAAAATTCTGTTGGGAACATCATCAACCCACGACATGGGCATTTTATTCTTTCCTTCTTCTAACGTAGGATTAAACCCAGGGCCCAGCACATTCTAGACAAGCTCTCTGCCACTGAGCTGCACCTCAGCCTGGTGGTGGTGTTTCCCAGGTCTGCCTTCCTTACACACATCTATTCTGAAAACCAAAAGATCCTCCTCTGTGCTGCCCGCCCTCATTTCCCTTTCCTTTTTCCTTCTGTCTGCAGTGCTAGGAGTCAAGGGCAGAGCCTCCCACACGCGAGGCAGGCCTTCTACCACTCAGCGACGGCCCTGGCATCCGAATCTAAAAGCTTTAAAACCTGAGATAGTGGAAAAGTCACACTATGGAATTTTATTTCGTTTACAAAATTATTTTAAAAGCGTGATATAAAGCTACCTTCTAGGACGCTTCTGTCTGCAGATGTTTCTGATACGGAATGCTCAGTCAGTGTCCTGGTTCCGTTTCCCTTGCTGTGATAAAAGACAAAGCAACGTAAGGAGAAGGGGGTTTATTTCAGCTCCAGATCCAGGTTCTGATTCCATCACTGTGGGGAAGGCAAGGCAAGAACTTCCAATACAGGTGGTCACAACCCATCCACAGTCAGGGAAAGAGAGAAATAGACGCATGCCTGCCTGCTCGCGTGCACTGTGCTTTTGCCACACAGTTCGGGACCTAAGGAACGGCCCTGCCCACAGTGGACTGGTTCCTCCATCAGTTGACTTCACAGACATACCCACAGTCCAACCCAGTGTAGGTAATCCCTCATCAAGACTTCCCAGGTAACTCTGGGAACTGTCAGGCTCACAATTAAAGCTGACCATCACAGTCGGCATTATCAAAGCCAGCTGCAACCCTTCCCTTACAACGCTGCCTACAGCAAACCCACTTGGGCCAGCTCTTGGATATTCACCCATTGACAGTGTGCCATACACATAGGTAAAATTACGTAAAATTCTTAAAGTCTGGCCGGAAACGTCCATCGTCAGCTGCAATTACATGCCCTGGATCTGATACTCCAGAGTGGCGGTTGTCAAAGGGAAGGTGCCACTCTAGACTGAGCCCCGTCTCCTCCCACACCTGGGTTCTGAATGGCCTAACCCAGCAGATGCTGTAACATTATCAATGAGTCGCCCATAGACTTGAATGAGACTCGTGTTCTTACCATCTACTCTGAACCTTTTAAATGTGTTTTGATTTGAACTATTTGAACTATCTAAATTACTTGCAGAAAAATTGTTTTTGATTTTCCCCCCAACTTTCCAAAAGTATTTCTTCATGCGTTATTTTCTGTGGTCAAAAGCCTTTCTGCCTGGGCTAGAATGTGGCTCAGTGGTAGACAACTTGTTTAGCATAGAGGAGGCTCTGGGTTCCATCTCCAACACCAGACAAACACATGCACGTACGCACACATGCGCGTGCACACACACACACACGCACGCACACACACACGCACACACACAGCACACAGACACACACCCTCATCTTCATCTGCTGTCCAACTTGTAACTGCTGCTTCTCCAAAGGCCCCAAGTGTCAGAAGTGACTCCCTGCTAACCTCAAAGCAAGCATCGTGGGATAAGATGGAAAATTTCCCGGATGTCCGTTAACAGTAATATAGATAATCAGTTAAGAGTCCTGCAATGGAATACCACACCACAATTGAAAGACACAAACCATTGCTCTGTCCAACAGTGGTCCTTACATGGAAGGAAAAACAGACACAAAAGAGTCTGTGCTGCCAAGCAATGGTGGTGCACGCCTTTAATCCTAGCACTCAAGAGGCAGAGGCAGGTGGATCTCTGTGAGTTCCAGGCCAGCCAGAGCTACACAGAAAAACCATGTCTTGAAAAACAAAAACAAAACAAAACAGAAGATTTAATGCTGTGGAATTTCTTATATATGAGGCTCAATTCTAGGCACAGCTCATGTCCCAAGGAAGAGAACTCTTTTACCTGGGGATGGTTTGTTGAGCTAGATGGTTAAAATTGGGGGCTTGCTGTGTGCGAATATAATTAACTAGATAGGAAGGTTAAATGAAAGATTCAGTGTCATTAAAAACTCAAATTAATAATAAAATTAAATGTTTCAAAATGTGAAGTAATTGGGGAGAGGACATGTGGTATGGTGTGTGTGTGTGTGCATGTGTGTGTGTGTGTGCGCGCGTGCATGTGTGTAGGTGCATGCGTGTGTGTGTGTGCGTGTGTGTGTACGTGTGTGTGTGTGTATGTGTGTGTGTGTTTTGCTGGAACATAACTGCCTGCCTGTTAAAGGTTCCAGCATTCAGCCCTAGCCCAGCCCTTACTCTATGATTTCCTGAATCTGATTCCGTCCAAGAGAGGGCTTCAGATGACCAGCCATGCCAGAGAGAGACTCAGGGCTGAGAGAACCCCTGTGGGTTATGAAACCATCATGTAAAGAAACAAGACTGGCCCACCAGGCATATCACAGAGAAAGTACTGATCAAGGGACAGAGAGCTGGGAACAAAACACTTAGGTTAACCCAGGCAGAGTGTATCACTACTGATTGGCTAGTGGAAGAAAAATAAGGACCCTGCCCTAAGTTACTTCTAGGGTTCTTTCTTTTTTTGATGTATCTGTTTATATAAATATATGTATTTCTCTATATTGAACAGTTAAAAAATATCTAGATAGGAGTTGGGGTTGTGTTTGTGTGTGCAGCTGGTGCGTGCAATGTGATGTCCTTTTGTCTCCCAGAGGTGAAAATT